GATGACCGTAAATTCTCAAGATGAATACCATCTTCAATTTACCCTAACTTAATGCATACTTACAGGAAAAATAAACCGTGATGGATTTTAAGATATATATATATGTTCTAATGAGATGAGATGCACGATAAATCTAATTTTTTATTATTTAATGTAAGTAGCAGTAGGATTCAGTTTTAGTGGGTGACAATCAAGTTTTCATCCAAATAAGGTATGGAATGGTAATTTGAGGAAAACTGAGACACTTTTCATTTATGGCATTTCTTGTTCAAATTTAAAATAGAGAAAATCAATTACAAGAGAATGTCAACTAATCTTTACTTAAGTCATTCATCATGTTTACGCAAGTGACTTAGGACACTAACAGCACAATTCATTACTGTCATCTGTCAGGTAGCTGATGTATTAGTAAATACTGAAAGTTATTTTGTAATTATCAATTACCCATAGTTATGTATTTAGTGTATTTTTATACTGCTATATGTCTTTAACATGTTTGATAGTCATATATATATATATATATATATATATATATATATATATATATATATATATATATATATATATATATATATATATGAATGATGAAAACACTCTACCGTGTTGATACTATGGTAGAAAAACCCACTGTAAAATGTAATAAATCTAGTTTTTACATTGTGGCTTTTTCTACCATATATATATACACACACACGCACGCACACACACACACACACACACACACACACACACACACACACACACACACACACACACACACACACACACACACACACACACACACACACACACACACACACACACACATATATAATGCTTTATGATAATCTTCTGTGCACAAGTGTTTTCATGATCATGATTTTTGACAGTGCTGGGAAACTCTATTCCTTGATAAGCACAAGAGAGAATATATAGTGTTACAATGATTCTGGGTTATTTAAAAAAAATATATATAGTGGATTTGCAGAAGAAATAGACACTAGTAGCCATCACAATTTGATATCTGAGCCTATTAAGTGTCATTTCTATATGACAAGGAAAGTGATTAGAAACCAAACAATTTAGACAGTCAACAGAAATAAAGAAAAAATTAGCTTTTGGCTCTGCATTGCTATGTGGTTTTCAGCAAGGAAATTACACACAGAATAAAGGTATTATTCTGTAATTTATTCCAAGAAGGACATTAAGTTTCCTTTTGCAGCAATTAAATTGCATCTCCCATCTGCTTTGGGTCATTTACCCTGGGGTTCCCAGGGATAGAGCCCGCTGGCTAGGCTGCTAGGATGGTTCTGTGGTTTGGATGTATTGTATAACGACCATAAGTTTTAACGATGGGATAAATGTATAGGCCTGATTGTCATATTTAAAAAAATGATTAATCAGAATGTACTAAAGCAGGGGGTCTCAAAGTGATCAATATCCTCCTTCAGGTGCCAATGGGTCATTGAATAGCTAGGGGGTCGAAAGGGGGTCGGTGAATGATTACTGGGGATAGGAGGGACCATTCATGCCTCCTATTTTGAATTCTAGGCTATGATTTGTAAAAATCTGAAGAATACCAGGCACCATTGGAAAAGGAAAGAATAGTAATTTCATAAATTCAAACAGTAGGTCAGAATTTCAGTAAATCTAAAGAAATTTTTGAAACTGGCAACACTACCTTCAACCAAACCTCCCCCCTCATCATCTCTCGCAGCTCTACTATCCGTACAGGATATATTCCTGTCTGCGTCCCGTACTGGGCGAGCGAGTGTATCCCCCACCCCATCCCTGTCTCTCTCGGATAAAGGGGAGCCAGTAGTTCAGTGCACTCTCAGCTCGCGTAAGTGTTATCCATGAACTGATTGTATGACTTGAAGTTAAATTAAAAGCTATGGGGTCGATAGAAAATATGAAACTCCATTAGGGGTCAATGAATTAAAAAGTTTGAGAACCTCGGTACTAAAGGAGAGAAAGAGTCCAATTTTTATTTTTTATTTTTAAGATTATTATTTATTTATTTATTATTATTATAATTTTTTTTTATATTATGTTATGTATTTTGAAATGATTGTTCTTGCATCAAAAATATGTCACTGTTGACTTGTATTGAATTGTATTACTACAAATACTTTACATTGCTTTTCCTTCTTTTCAAATAGGCACAGAGGGCGTGGAGAAACAGATGGTGAAGAAGAAAAAGAAAACGGATACTAAGAAAGATTTAGAAACTTCTGAAGACCAGGAAGTTGGCATGGAGAAAATGGAAAAGAAAATGGAGACCAAGAAAGATTTAGAAACCTCAGAAGACCAGGAAGTTGGCATGGAGGACTTGAAGCGCTTGTACAAAGGGTCCGTGTTTGGCGCTGGCTTACTGGTACAGAAGAAGTTAGAAAGTTCAGAAGATAAAGACAAGGGCGAGGAAGGGGAGGAAGTCAAGCTGACCCGAAAGATGAAGAAAGCCCTGCGAAAGGAAAAGAGAGTAAATGACAGAAAGAACCTGTCCAAAAGTAAGAAGAGA